AAAATTGTAACTTTTTTTTTTTTTTTTTTTTTTTAGAAATACCATAATAAGTCTTTTATATGAATAAGGAAATACGTTTCAAGAATAACATTATGAGATTAAAATACACCAAAAGACTGATCATGTCTGTGTTTGGTATATCCCATTTGAAGAATGATTCCTATTTATTTACATCTATTACTTTTAAACATTTAATTTCTATATTTTAGTATTATTGTGACATTACAACTTTATTCTTAAAATCGTCTCAATTTTTTTTTTTTTACGTTAACATGCTGCTAGGACATGCTGCTGGTGATGAGTCTAAAATAAAAGGGTGAACTTCACAAAGAAATGTCTGGCTAAAATAAAAGAAAAAAACATCAGTTTTGCGTAATGGAATGAAGGGTATTTTTAGGGCCATTAAAATAGCCTATTTTTTGGCATTGTGACATTTTCTTAATGAATTGTAATTGTATTAAATAATATTAATTCAAATCATTACAACAAATGCACTAAATAAACAATGTATAAATAATCAATGACCCAAAAAGTCATATTACATGAATGGAAATAATATTTTCCACATTACGGTATTGTAAATTTGAGGATTCATGAACTTAATCGTCAAAAATGTCACAATGCAAAATATCTAATGGGCATAAAGCACTGTAAAAATGATCGCTGTGATTAGCCATCACAAATTAAAATTCAACCGAATAAATAATATGTTGTTTCGACTTAAAAACTTAAGTGTTAATGCTCGACTTAAAATTATAAGTTATGTTGAGTTAACCTTAGTTATAGTTAGATATTTAAGTTATCTCAACAAATTTAATATAATAAGCTGTTAGAACTAATTGCAGCAGCATTTTTTTATAGGTAGAAAAATATGAAATTGACCGCTTTTATGAGATTCACCTAAAAGCATGGTTTTATACAAGCAGGATATATTTCATTCAAAAATATTTAAATCAATCTATGCCCAAAGAGAGTGTATCCGTTCACATTACCATACATGTTTATGTTGGCCGTTGTGATGACAAAAGCATGCGTTTATGATTTCGCTGATTATGAATAATAATAATAATAAACTTTTTGTCCAGGAACAAATGACAAGCAAGCATGATTTGTCAGCTTTCCTTGTCTCAAAGCGGAATTTTTAAATGGTCAAACAATAATGAATTGTTTTTCAGTCAATAGAAAGATATTTATTTATTCATCTCATAAGATCAACCATTGACACCCAACATAATGTTACGTGATTAATATGAAAGGCTTTAAAAGTAACAGTGCAACCTTATATGCTGCACCTTATATCAAAAGACCAAGTAGTTTAGTCAAAGATGAAGCTCATTTTGGTAAGTGAAGGGTTTGCAATAATCATACTCTTTTGTTTTAAATGCTTGAATATCTGCACCATTTCATCTCCATTCCATGCATGTGTGATTCTGGAGCCAAATCGGCACACAGCCCTAAAGCCATCGACTGCTATCAAAACCAGCACTGCAATGTAAGAGCACATTGCGGAGATGTGTTTGGAGATCAGGTGAATATGTCAGGCTGACCTGCTGTCTGTTCACACACAATGGCAATAAAGCATTTTGTTGTTGTGACTACGAACCAGATATGTGTGTGGATGGAGGACGTCATTTGATTTGAAGGGGGAAAATATTGACTGAGGACGAAAGAACAAAACATGCTGGGTTGTTTCAACCCAACTTTGGGTCAAATATGGACTAACCCAACCTTTGGGTTAAAAATGTAATTAAAAAATTTAGCACAACAGCTGAAACAACCCAGCATTTTTTAGAGTGTGATAACTCTTTGCCAATTCTCATGTCAAGAAAATGATGTTTAAAGCTTTGTAGCTTGAATTGTTTTTCTGTGGCACAGGCTGCTGAGCTTGCATACACTAAAAAATGCTGGGTTAAATACAACCCAGTGCTGGGTAAAATAGGGACAAACCCAGCAATTGGGCTGTTTTGACCCACCGGTTGGGTTACTTCCCAGAAGGTTGGGTTAAACATTTAACCCAACCGCTCGGTCAAAACAGCCCAATTGCTGGGTTTGTCCCTATTTTACCCAGCACTGGGTTGTATTTAACCCAGCATTTTTTTAGAGTGTAAGGTTATAGGCCCACTGTCCGTGTCTGGTGACTGTATACAAATGACAGTATCAAAAGCCACACTTTCTTCAACTTTTAGCCTCAAGCGGCTAATTGTTTCTTTATTTCAATAGTAGGAACCTTGTGTTTTATTTAAATTAAATAAACATTAGAATTAAAATCCAGTCTCCTCGCCATCTTTCCTTAGATAGTCACTTACTGCTTCTAGTTTATGACTCCTAAAACCGATGTATTTGTCGTCCAGAAGAAAATCTTGTTTTAAAGCAAATTCATTTTTTGTGACCTTTTGAAATGCCAAAAGATGCCTAAAAGGTGTTTTGCACCCAAGAAATGAAAATTTTAGCTAAAGGTCACGGTCAAGAAGGTGTTGTCAATAGAATGCAACAGTTGGCTTCCAAAAGGAAAAACAGCATTCATTGTCTTCATAGGGACATTTTATCAATCGAATTTGGTCAATGACTTAAAGGGGACATTGGATGGCCATTTTCCACAAGTTGGTATGATTCTTTAGGGTCTTCATGAAATGTCTGTAACATACTTTGGTTAAAATTCCTCAATGGTCGTGTAAAACAACACTCTTTTTAGCTTGTCAAAAACAGCTCTGCTCACAGCGACCCGTTTCGGTGCATGTCTCTTTAAATCATAATGAGCTACTGCTCACCCCGCCCCTCTCTTCCGTTTTGTGTGTATTCGGTGGCGCATTACCATCAAAAACTAAACTAATCCACTGCGTCCTCAGTAGTCTGATGTCGAAAATGAAGACTCACATCCAACTACAAAACACCTGCATTGCTTACGAGACAGAGTACAACTGTCTCGGACAGAGTACAACTGGCTGAGGGTGGAGATATGCTAATATTACAGTCCGTCAGCAGTCGTGGGCGGGGCCTGAGCAGTATGATGTCATATTGCTCAGAAAGTCAAAACAGGTTGATAATTGAGACTGTTCAGGTTTTTTGGGGGAAAAAAAAGGAGTGAATAGATTTTTATCATTGTGGAGTGGTTGTGTTCACACACTGCTAAGACACATTTATATGCAAGCACCATGTAAAAGTGAATTTTGCATCCAATGTCCCCTTTAAAAACCTTTAAAGACAGGTCTACCGTGAGATCTGAAGTTTTGTTGAAGCCACCAGTTCACATTATTTCAACCTATTTTTATAGGTCTTTGCGAAGAGCGAGTTCCTGCAGAAAAACTACATTACCCATGATTCTGCAGAGACTCTCCACCAATCAGAGAGCTGCAGCAGCAAATCAGCTTGAAGTGAACTCTTCCATTAAGCACTGGAAATGACATAATCAGTATGGTCTCCCTACTCTCTCAAAATACTTAAATATACTTAAAATGTATTGTTTCTATGCATAATCAACAACTTTAAATCAAAAGTATTTATTTCTTTTTTGATTCGATAATGTCAGTCGCAAAGCAAATTTCCCACACATCCTTAAGTCTTTGTCTTTTTGTCAGATTTTCAAATACTTTTTTGCTTTGAATCAAAGTTTGTAATGTTGTGATTCACATTGAAGCTGGTTGGTTTGGTTCATGTTGTTTTTTTTGTTTTTTTTAATCCCTATTGGAATAATGAATGGAAAAACCAACGCAGCTGAAAAAATGGACGGATACTGTTGCACTCTAGCAATGTATGAAGCGCAGCTCACACAGAAGTTCTTTTGAAACCAAGCAGCCTTCTGTTGGTCAACATGGAGTATTTGTGTGACCAACTTGAACTCAATGCGAAATCTGAATGGGTAAATGGGTTTAAAAAAAAAAAGCGGCAAATGTGGTTGATATGAATCGTGCACTCTACACTCTTAACAATAAAGGTTCCCAATGGGTTTTTGTGCAGGGATGCTATAGAAGCATTTTTGGTTCCCCAAAGAATCTTCCAGTGAACAGTTCTTAAAAAGAACCATTTTTTAGTTTAAAGAACATTTGAATTATCTACCCTTTTTACTATAAACCCTTTTCCACTATACAGTAAATAACCTTCTGTACAGCTGAAATGTTTCATGGATGTAAAAGGTTCTTCATAGGACTTCAAAGAACATTCATTTTTAAAAGTGTATTCCAAGTTGCTTGAAGTCACAACAAACAGATCAAAATTGAACTCATTATTGACTGAAAATCTTAACTTCAGAAGATTATAAATGTTCTTCCAAATATCTCCTTTTATGTTCATCAGAAGAAAGTAAGTAATGCAGGTATGGAAAAAACATGAGGGTGAGTAAATGATGACAGATCTTTCATTTTTGGACGAACTATCCCTTTAAGGGGGGAAAGGGGTGTTTTAGGGTGCTCACACCTGTAGATTTATTGCTTTGTTCCGAAACAGGGATTACAATTATTACAATGTTGCTTTTTATTCTTGGTGCGGTTCGCTTTCACATGGTGTGAAAGCACCCTTACTCTCTGAACTGTTTCTAGGTA